GGATGTAGGCCCGCATTCACCCTAACCTCATATATTTGAGGAGCCAAGGCAAAGCAGACCTCCTAAAGTGGAATTCGAAAATTCTTTTTACCTCTTGCTGCCAAGTATATTTTCATTAATTTCACCTCAAGTCGTGACGTAAATGCGGGTGGAATCGGCCCCAAGCTAAATAAGCAATAAGCTCCATTTTTCAACACACAAACACATAAAGATGTCAGCTCAAACTGTTTACTAATTAACACTTAAAAAGACACAAATTAGATATGCGTGGCTAAGAGCAATTATAATCAAGACGAATTTCTCTAGTCATTTGGGAACTGAAAAAAATGCCTAATTGCTGGAACCAATGTTTTAAAAACTGAAATCAAGCTAGTTAGCAAATATGTTCATTTAAAGAACATTCCACGTGACTGCACTCTGGAGGATTAACTAACAAACAGGAGAACAAGGAAAATATTTAGGTATAAAATTAAAATTTTAAGCTCCTTTAGATTTATAACTTCTTCATTAAATATGTCTGCAAACAGCAGCCCATAAAAACCTGTAGCAATTAAGTGGTTAAATGAACTGCCTCCCTTGTCAATTTTAAGGGCGTGATTAATATTAGAGCGTCCCTTTACTAATTAGATGCTCCCTCCTCATTCAGCCTTTGAGTCCAGTGAAAATGGAGGCCGGCTGCTAGCCATAAAGCGTGGTAGGCTAACGCATTCTTCCCTCGGCCTCCTTTTCTAAGGTGTGCACCTTGGTTTTGGGGAGCTGGGCTGTGCGTGGGGCTGGAGGGCCCAGCTCCCCCTGCCCTGCGCAGCTCGCCCCGGGCCGGGCCGGGCCGTCTGTGCCTGCAGGCAGAGGCCCAGGTGCACAGCGAGCCAGTCCAGGCCGCAGCCTCCTGGGCCGTTGGAGAGCGGCGGGAGGATGGGGAGGCGGCGGGATGGAGCCCCTGGGCGGCGCGGGAGGGTCGTGGGCCGGAGAAGAGGGTAAAGAGGGAGCCAAGGAGCGGGATGATTTCCGAGGCTGCCGCCTGGATGCAGAGCTGAGGCGCCCACCCCGGCTGCGGCTGCGGCTGCGGCTGCGAGGGGGAATCCATCAGATGGAGAAATGGGGCCGCTGCTTACAAGGGAAATAAAGAGCGGCGGCGACGGGAATATTTATACGCCCGTCTTCGCACTCCGAGCCGAGCTGCTTCATCACGGCGCTGCCTGCGGAGCTGGAGCGGGTCTCTGGGGCAGCAGGGGCGGGACAAGGCTGTGGACAGGCTGCGACGAGGAGAGATGGGCGGGCTGGACTAATCTACATGCGTCCGCGAGGACGCAGGGCCCCGCGCCGTGCGGTGGCTGCGCGTGGGTGGCAGGGGACAAGGCCGCGGGGCTGGAAGGCGAAGTGGGAGGCGCCCCGCAGCTGCAGCCCGAGGGCGGCCGCGTTAGGGCTGCATTAGGGCCGCGTTCCGCTTCGCACGTACTCACTAATCACAGCGTCCTTCATCGCTCCCCCAACCCACCGCTATGTCTGTATTCTGCTGTCTTTCCAGTGATTTTTTGTTTTGGAAACCTGCTAAAGGCCCTGGCAGAGACGCTTGGCACGCAGGGTGGGACATCAGGCCTGCACTCCAGTCTGAAGTGGGGCCAACCACAAAGTGCCCAGGGGCCAGGCCTAAGCAGTGGATTTGGGGCTCTGCAGCCTGCAGACCCGGGTGGGCCTGTGTCCCAGCCACCGCACCACATCACCTTCGCCATCTACAAGTCCACAGACGCCGCAGACACTGCCTCACCACTGAGATGCTGGCCAGTGCACGTCCCCACTTACTGCTCACTGAGTCCCTGACTGCTGAGACCTAGGGTCACACTCTCCTTTAAGCTCGTGACCGGTGACCACCAGCTACTGGACGCCAAGCAGCTCCGTGTGTCTAGGCTGTGTCGGATACCTTTGGGTGCAGGAGTTCATCTGAGGTTCTTCTGCTGGGGACCATCGCCCACCATACTCACAGAGGACCTGACAGTGGATCCTGTAGGCCCAGTGAGGGAAGATGGGAGCACAGCCGGTGGCAATAAAGCAATCGGTCCTGACACGGACAGACAGAATGACACGCTGCCTTTGGCATTGAGCAGTGGTATTTGCTTTCAAGTTGGGGCCTCTTGAGTGGAGGGCTGTGATCATTCAGCTAGGGTCACGCTCAGCCTCTTGCTAGCACTGGGGGAGCCTGTGTGGTGCCTCTTCCTGCTGGGGACTCTGGCAGCTTATTCTGCTCCTTGAGTCTAAGTTTGTCCTGCAGGTGTGGATACCAGGTCCTCCCATGGGGGACACTCCAGCCCAGCATGGAGCAACCACCTCACGAACACTGGGTTCTCCTGCCTTGTGAGAGAACCTTGGGGGGACCCAGGAGTTTCCTGGGGTCACGAGTCTGTGTCCTGAACCCCAAAGCACTGTCCCTCCTTCACTTACTCTGTTTTGAGTTTGGTTTAATGATGCAGAGATCTACCCTTAGCAAAGCACATTTCCAAGCTGAGCTCCTGAGGCCCCTCTCCAGAGGTAAACAGACTTAGAATGGAAAAGAGTGAAATACTGTAAAAAACCAGAAATCATCCCTGCCAGGGAATATGTGGTCTGATTCAGGGAACACTCTGCCTGTCCCAGGCCCATCACACAGCAGAGGCTGCAGAGGCTCCTCCTTGTCGGGGCTCTGACCCCCACAAGCAGCCCTGCTCTCAGTTCAGGGGCCAACAAGGGCTTATTCAGGAGACAGTCCTCGGAGGCTGCTGTAGAGAAAGAGCCACTCACAGAGGTGGCCAGCAAGACACTGGTCACCATCAGATGTATACACAGGGCTGCTGGAGGCTGCTTTGAAATTCTTGATCATGTGAAAAACTCCGGGCACCCCCTGCCCCAGGACAATTGTGGTTTTACACCCCATGGAACCTTCTCATCTCCATGTCCCCTGTTTGCTCTAAAGCAACTTTAGTTCCTTTCAATATTGAACACAGACCTGTTCATTTTTACTGATCACTAAAATGAGAAATATGGCAAGGGTCATTTGGGGTGTGACCTGCACAACGGGGATGGACGATGCCATGTTACGCCCTTAGCTGTGGACAGGGATACCAGGTGTGGTGACAATGACCGTGACCGTGCACAGCTGTCTCAGACCTGTAACAGCTGTTGGGTTAAGGATTCTTATTCCCCCCTTGGTTTTACACTACAGAAACTGAGGCCTGGAAAGCTCAAGTGGAGGAGCTGAAGCACCCCTAGCTCTTTGCCCGCCTGGCTCTTTGCCTCCCACCTGGGGCAGCCACGCTGTGACTCAGGCGCCTGATGTTGATACCCACAGGACGTCCAACCAGATTCCAGTCCCTGCAGTGGGAAAGAGAACCAGGGTCGCCCTGTCCTTGCTGCACACCTTGGCCAGGCACTGGGCCTCCCCAGGAACCTGCTCCCGGCAGCTGACAGGCCCTGGCAGTGCACAACCCCAGCCATGGCCATGGTCCCCTCGGCTCCAGAGGGGCCCTGAGCGGGGGCTGTGAAGTCAAGACCTGGGTCTCAGGTTTCCTAAGACCACGACTCTATAGAGTCTCAATTTCTGTCCCATGAAACAGGAAGGACTAAGGTTCCTATGATCAGCTGTGGTGAGGACCAGAGACAGATGCACCAAGCTGGGCCCAGAGCTGTGCATGGAGCAGGAGCAGCTGCCCGTAGGTGAGCTTCATGGTGAGGACCACAGGGCAGAAGCCTGCTGCTGGGACGGCCACGCCTTTCCCCGATACCGGACCCTGGTGATGGGACCATGGCTGCCAGCCCCTTCTAGCCTGCATGGACGGCATCCACGGAACCACCCTCGGGGGCCGGTTCTGCTGTCATCCTGCTCTCAACACAGGGTGCACTTATTAATCTTCCCACCCCAACCAGGCTTGAATTTGGTTTCTACCAAGCCCTCAGGGTCAGAGCCCCGATTTCCCACCTGCAGCTGAAACAGCCATCTTCTAGGGCCTTCCCCACACAGCCACCAGGCCCCGCACTATGGGGACCTGTGCAGAGATGACACTCACAAGGGCAGATGTGAAGGTGTATGTGTATTTACATTTCTAAGGTTGCAGCCCAGACATTTCCCCCATTAAGTTACTATGAAAAACACTCCAGAAACTATGGATGGCAATCAGGCTGGCTTTTGTGATTTACTGAAAATCAAAGACAAAGGGGGAGTTTTTTGTCTTCTTTTTGCTATGACAGCTTTGGAAATTTGTTGTACTACATTGATTCAATTTTCCTTGATTTCAGCCATCTTTCAATAATGCAACCTGCTTCTGCTAGCTGGGTACACAGGAGAAAACCCCAAGGAACCGAGAATATTGAAATGGTTCTACCATTTCCATCTTTGAGACAAATGCTCCTCTCTGAGGGGGAGAGCTGGCTGCAGCACGTGACTGCTTAACAACCTGCTATACATAAAAGACGACGTGAACGCCAACGCTGTCTCAGAAGGAGCAGACGCTGCTGGCAGATCGACCTCTAGTTTGATTCCACCATCTTAACCTTGAGTCTCCCGAGTTCTCTGGACTCTCACCCTGGATGCCCTTCTTTTTATACAGGGACATGTCCCAGCTCCCACGAACCAGGCTGCCAAGTGGGTCTGACTCATCGAGCTTGCACAAGGTGCCTTGACCCCTCTTCTGCGTCACACCGCCGTCTGACCTCTTCCCCACCGAGAGCCTCCTGCTGGGAAATCGTAAAACCTTGTGCCTGTCTCCCACCTCCACCTGAGCTGAGCTGAGCCATTTTAAAAAACAAAATAGAACTGATCGCTCTGTCTGCCTCTTAAAACCTGACTTGGAGAAGACACGATGTTGGTTGTATTTGACTGGAAGTCACAAATGCATTAAAAATGAGTTACTTTTCCTAAGAAATAAATTTGAGTGAGGATTTTCCCCCCCGAATAGGGCACTCACCCTATCTGCTGTCCCGGGCAGCAGATTTTGACGTAGGCCCACCCACCACCACTGTGAGTGCTCACTTACCTCCTTCTCAATTTCTGCTAGAGATTTGATAGTGATCCCCAAGAGATCAAAGGGCTGCATCTGGAAATACAATCAAGTCACCCTTTTAAATGGCCAGAAAATCCTTTTTATATTTCCTTTCTGCGTGGCCACAGTGAAATCTCAAGCCATCCTGCGGGAACCAGCATCTCCCCACCCTCTTCCAAAAGAAACTACCACGGTGACTCTGCAGTCACTGGTGAGGGTGCAGGGAGGAGTGACAAAGACTAGAGTGGCCATTAGAGCCATCGGCCTCTGTCCTGTGGGCACCATTTAGTCATGTCTGTGGCACCCATGAGAGTGATGGCTCCTGGGTGACAGTCACTATGGGTGGACAGCTTCACCTCTCTGTCCCTGCTGCCACAAGCAAATGTGGCAAGGTTTGGTCTTTCGTGCTAGAACTGTGGGATGGGAAGTGAAGGATGTCACCAGGGGCCAAACTACTACCGTGTCTAAGGAATTCCAGGAGTCTGGAGGTCCAGGGGAGGAGCTGAAGGGACTCCAGGTCTTTGAAAATGCAGATGAATGAAGAAATTGCCCATCAGTTACCTTTTGTGAAACTGATTTTTGTCAGAAATAACAGCCTTAGCCAGGCGTGGTGGCTCACGCCTGTAATCCCAGCACTCAGGAGGCTGAGGCAGGATTGTTGCAAGTTCGAGACCAGCCTAGACTATAAAGTGAGTTCAAGGCCAGCCTGAATTGCACAGCAAGACCCTGTCTCAAAAAGACAGGAAAAAAAAAAAAAAAAAAAGAAAGAAACAAACAACAGCCCAACAGCCTGCCTCTGTCCCTCCATCCTTTCACCCCTCCCTTCCTCGATGCTTCATCCCTTCCTTCTTTTCTGCAGAACTGGAGATGAAGCCCAGGGCCTTTATCTCAAGTTTTGTGTTTGAGACATGTTGTTGCCAAATCACTAAATTGCCCAGGTTGCCTTGAATTTGCAACCCTCTTACCTCAGCCTCCCAGAGTGCAGGGTTATACGTATGCATCACCATGTCTGACGTGTAAGGTCCTACAATTTCATGAACATGAGGACCTTTCTTTGCAACTGCTGCCTTTTTATTTTATTTTATTTTTATTTTTGGTCTTTTTCGTTTTTATCGGTACCGGGGATCGAACTCATGACCACACACTTGCAAGGCAGGTGCTTATGCCGCTGAGCTAAATCCCCAGCCCAAATGCTGCCTTTTTAACAGACAGCATACAAAGCCAAACACATAGGCAGTGTGAACTGCCTAGAGACCCATGTGGCCGGGCCGAGACACAGAGGAGCCTGTCTGTGAGACCCCGTCTGGGTCCCTTCTGGGCACCTTAGTTCTACATTTCCAAAAAGGCAAGTGGCCCAGCCTCTTGGGTCTGGGTCAGCAGCTGGCACCCTGGGATAAGCAGGTGGAACCTGAGAAGTGGTTCTGACCTGCAACAGCCCAGCAGTGGGCTGCATGATGGAGTGGCTGTGCGAGTATTTCCAGCAAGCGGCCAGCTGGAGGCTAAGGGTCTGCATTCAAAACCGGCTCCTTGTGATGCAGCTGTAGGTTAAACCGCTGCAGTGCTCATCAGCCCACCCACCCCATTAGCCTGTTACAAAGCTGGGCGGGCGCTCCTGGCCGGGCTACAGGGGGATTAAAGACAGAAGTGCTTGCAAGGGCCGAGCTGGGCTTGGCCTGAGTCCGTGGCCTCGGGCACTTGCTGAGTAGACAGCGGCACATTCGCAAGGGGCAATCTTGGGACAGGGCCACCAAATTAGACACTGCGCTCCTAGGGCTGCTCTGCCAGGAGCCACAAAACAGTTTGGCTCTTTTCGTGCTGCCAGCCTGAGGGGAAGGAGCACGGGGCCACCTGCCCAAGCTGCCCGGATCCAGCAGAGGTCCAGCTGTTGAATCATTAGGCTCTGACTACGCCACTAAACTTTCCCAATTGGAGCTGGTGAGCAGGGCAGAGCCCCCTCTCCCAGGGAGCTGGCGGGAGAGGCGCCAGGGTCTCCATGGCAACGCGGCCAAGTGAGTCTGTGGAAGTTACTCAAGCTCCGCATGTCACGTCAGGAGCATTTTTCAAGATTAAGCTGCTTACCAGAAGGGTTCAGAGGAGGCCTATTATATTTCATGAAAATGGAAACTACAGAGCAGGTCAAATCATAAGCAGGGTGGTTTTAAACTGGGTCCAAGAAAAACACTGAAAGGGTCTTTAGCTGGTGCCCAAACTGAGGCCTTGGTGTTTCTCAAAGCGATCTTCTGCAGAAAGGATAAAAGCCAGGCACAAATTTTCTGTGCTGCCGTGCGCCAGGCCTATGCACTGAGGGAGGGCCACCGCCATCCTGGGGCACAGGCTCTGTCTGAGAGGTGCCCCAGCACAGGGCCCTGTGTGTGGCAGGTGGCTCCTGGGTCTGGATCCTGGCCTCTAGGCCAGGCCAGCTCACTCAGTCCCTCTGCACAGGGCTCGGCCTGGAGCTCAGGGAGCTCATGTGTATGGTGGGGTCAGTACAGCCAGAGACCTGCAGCCAGGACCCCTGCGCGGCCACAGAGTCCTCTGGGTCACAGAAGAGGATGCAGCAGTGGCAACGGGATGATGGGACAATCTCCTTGCTGCATGACGTTGTCACTGTTACATAAAAAAGAACAAAAATGACTAAGCTGAACTTGGGAAACCAAGACTTCACAAACAACCAAGTGGAATTCACCATCGTGGTGGAAATGAAGGGTCTGGCTGTGTGTGAGCCAGTCTAGCAGTCCAGCTCACGCCCCACAGACCTCCTTACTCCTCCCTGCACTTCTCCAGCACCTATGGCCCACGGGTGGACATGACCTCTCTGCAGCTCTCTGCAGGCACAGTCATTAGACTGTGGAGTTCAGGTCTCCACGGGGAGAGAGGCGAAGATGATTTCCCTGGGGTGGGCTGTGTGGACTGCCCACAGCAGTCAGCACACACGGAACCATGGCAGAGGGATTCAGGCTGGGGGAGGCAGGAGGGTGACTGAGCGTAGAACTTACACTTTCTGGAACACACGAAAACTTCTCTGAAATCATAAAAGGCACGCCATCCATCGCTGCAAAAGGAGAAAGGAGAGAATAATGGCACTGAAGACGTTGTCACGGCCTCATAGGACATCATCACAGAGTACAGTGAGTCCCTGCTGGAGCTGGGAACACCCAGAGCAAGTAGTAGGGGCCACGAGGTGACAGCAGGCACCCCGTCTCTAGGGACCATAACCTAATGAAGGAGACAGATGCTTTCTGTCCTCCCATACCAGGCAGATGTGGCTCTGGGACCTGCACAGGGCTGGCTCAGAAAACCACCCACCCCACCCGTGAGTCTGGCCTCCTGGCTGGAAGCGGTAGGAGCCACCACAAGGCTGACAGCAAAGGAGGTGACACAGGTAGGAGGAGTGGGGTGCCCCCTGGGGGAGGCAGCAGAGGCGGGTCCATCAGACCCTCTGAAGGGGAGGGAAGAGGAGTCCCTGGGGAGCAGCTGAAGTCCCTTGCACAGGAAAACGGTGCTGTGAGTCAAAGGGCAAGTCAGGTTGTGGGGACACCCAGCCCCAAGTGTGCAGGTGAGGAGACACACATGGTCACTGTCACTGACTGTCACCACCCAGGGCTGATCTGAGTCTTGTGAGTTTGCTTTAACTTAACAGGACATAATGGGAAGGGTATAAACTGGGCCCAGGGAGTTTGGAGACCAGGAGTTCCAGGGGTTCCTTTTCTGTGGGTTCCCTCCTTTGCTCCTTCTGCACCGTCCTCAGGTCATCACTGTCAGAGGAGAACAGTGTACTAGGAGTGTGTCTCCACGAGCGCTTTCCCTCTGCCAGTCACAGTGTTAGGGGAAACTCTGTGGTCACTGAGGTGCTGGAGACCTTGCCACAGAGCAGGAACGGGAGAGCTCTGACAACATGTGACTCGGGCTTGGCAAGTGTGACCTCTGGCAGCCCAGTGCCGGGCTGAGGCCAATCTGGGTTCCCCCTTCGGACTCTGCTGACCTAAACTCAGCCTCGTGGCTCTTTGAGAAGATCAACAGCTCTGAGGCTGGCTGTGGGCCTCACCAGAGGGGGCTGGTTCTAGGATAAGCTGTGGTTTTAGGAAGGAAAGGGGTGAGGGCCTAGAAACCTTGGGGTGTGGGTTCCCAGGAAACTGAGAATCTTGGCTTTCCCTGTGCTTTTAGAATTAGGACTTCCAGGTCTCTAAGTGCTACACAATCTTTCAGTTCCAGGGCACAAGAGCAGCAGAGGCAGAAGAGGCAAAGCAGGAGGGAAGAAGGGACAGGAGAGAAATTCAGTCACCTCCTTTTGGGTTGGCAAAGATGAACCAGAGAAAGCATTTAAACTATGTTCGTGATTGATTCCAGGGAAGGAAAAACAAAGCCTCCTTTGGTAGTCTGAAGAGAAAGAGGGCATGGGTGCCCCTGTGTCTGTAATGGGGACACCTGGGGAAGGCCACTGTCTTCAGTGTGGCCACCAGGCTCCCAGAAACACCTGCAGGCAGAGCCCTGCACCCTGCTGTCAACAGCCCAGAAGAGAGGCCTCTGAACACTGCAACGACGTGAAGGACACTTGTCCAAAAGCGCAGGCAGCAAAATCATCTTATACACCACATGTCTAAACATACCCGTGCCTGGTGAACACCTATGCCAAGTGCCTACTTATGGCTGAAATAATTCTGTGAGTAAGAGGCCCTTGGAAAGCCAGAGCCTCCAGAATGGGACAGAACCATGTTCCAACCATGTATCTGGGGAGACACTGTACTGGCTCCTGCCACCAGCTGCCCACGAGGCTATGAGGGGACACTCAGCTCCACATGGCATTGGATGCTCTGACCTCTGGCCCTGTCCATGCTGCTGCCAGGCCAGGCATGCAACATGTACACACTTTGGGTCACTCTGCAGATTGGGAAGCCAAGGCTCCAAGTGGTGAGAGCTTGCCAAGATCATGCAGGTAAGAAGCAGTGACCTCAACACCCTAACTCGTAAAGGCTGGATACTGACAATGATATTATACATATATGATACATGTGTTTAGGACATGTAATCTATTACATGCCTGGTCTAATCTATTACATGCCTTACATTCCTGCCTGGGCTGGCAGCAGCGAGGACAGGACCTGCCTAGACCCCAGCCTGGGTACAAATGACCACTCCATGCCAGAGCTCATGACATAAGGCACACAGCCCTTTGCTGCTCATATCCTTTTAGAAAACAGATTTTCAACAAACTCGCAGGACAGCAAGCTGAGGAGAACAGGACTCTCACTGACCGGAGGCTCCAATAAGGAGAAAGGAGAACTACAAGGAGCACAGTCAGCATTTGCTGGTAAAGAGGGTGCCCTGCCGACCAAACTTCACTTAGAAAGCACAGGGGTTTAACAAAGCATTTTGACAAGATTTTTCATGTTATTCATGTAGCCGAGATGGATCAATGTGGCTGGAAACAGTAGGGTTTGGAGGGTTCCTAATGGGGCCTCTGAGATGGAGATTAACGGGGTGATACCCACCCTGAGTGACTTCTCTGGAGGGTACCAAGGGTGTCCACTAAACATAGATACTCAAGGGATGCTTTCCAGAGTCCTGCTGCAGGGAGCCTATGAGGGCAGTCTACGTGCTGCGTCACAGTGAAATCCGATCACATTCTTAAGCCACCGGCCTCCTGGGCTATCTGAACAGATGGAGTCCACAGAGGTCAAAGTTATATCCTGCAGTTTAGGTCCAAAATCCAACTACATTAGGCACAACAGAAGAATTGTGGACTAATACACATAGAAAGGAATCAAAGGCTTGGTTGTACTTGAGTGTCAGTTCTACAGTGATTACTCAAGGTGGGGGGGGGTATGTGCACCATCACAAAGGCCATACCGCCATGGTCCTGGTGCCACGACTCACATGGTCGCCCTGGAAGCCTCGAAGGAGGCCCGGATGGTGAGGGGCCCTGAAGCCTGAGCCCATGAGGAAAAGGAGAAGCGGCCATTGGGCTGGATGCCCCAGGAAGGTACCATCCCATCCACTGTTGTTCACTGTGTCTGGCCCCACCACAGCCCAGAGCAGTGTCCATCAGCAGGAAGTGTGGCCTGAGTGGGATCCTGTCAGGTCAGACTCACAGTGAGAGCGAATGTCACACAGTTTTGCTAGTTGTCACGGAAGAAGGGTAGACAGATCACCCATGGTTGGGGGGGGCAGACCTCTTCTTCCAGGAAGGGGTACTGGGCAAGGGGATCAGTAGAGCCACTGGCCAGGGTCCAGGCAGATGGCTCCTGGTTGGCCAATCAGTACAGGATCTCATCTGTGGGACAGCTAAATCCCCTTCTAATTCTATAACATCTATTTCTACTCTCCTTATCTGGGCAGCCTTTCTGTATTTAAAAATATCCAGAGGGTTCCCAAACATAATTCTTAAAATCAATGGCACATATTTTTCATGTGTTCCCGAAGACTGCATAAATCACCTCCACCCTGGCTTCTCATGGGGAGCATTCGCCTCTTTTTTTTCTCTCCCCGCCATCAGAGCGGGCTTTTCTTTACTGCTTCTCCAGAGCTGAGACCCTGTAATCACTACCTACCAGCCAGCCTTTCACCAACCCTGCTTAGAGTGACACCCTGCTCCAGGACCTGGTGACAGGGAGCCAGGTCTACAGTGCACAAGGGCACCTAGCCTGCCCTGCCAATCTGCAGGGGCTGGGAGGGGTCCCTTTCTTGCTGAAAAGGCCTCCAGGGTGGGAAGGAAAAGAACTATTGGCCTTGCCAAGTTCTCCCAAAGAGAAAGAGGAAAGAAGACCCACATTTGTTGCCCACATGCTAGGTTTGTGAACTTGCAGCAAATGACTGAACCGTCAGCGCTAGCATTTGCCAGTAGTCTGCACGCCACAGAGGCTGGGAGGGAGCCAGGATTCAAACCCAGAGCCTGGTCAGTGCTGGGGCAGCTGACGGTGGCGGGGAGGCATCTGGCAGGTCTGTGTTTCTTCTTACAGGCCCAGGCCACGATGCATCTCCCAGCCCTCACTGTCCTATCCGTAAAGACAGAATTAGGAGCAGAGGTGAAGAGCCCAGTGTGCGGGGCTGGCTGCGCGGCAAACTGGGTTTCAAAGACCAAAAGCCATGTATTGAGCGGGCTTCCTTTCAGCCCAGCCAGTGTTGCCTTTTTCTTCCTTTTTTAAAATAATACGAAATTTTTGGTGGCAGTTTTAACAAAACGCTGATCGGCAGCACTGAGCACCATCCAGAGATGAAAGCAAGGATGTGCCGCGGGCTCTGTAGCGCAATTAGCATTCTCCTAAACAAACGAGCGTCAGCAGAGCTGTAATTAAGCAGGCCTGTAATTAAGTATATGCCCTTTATCATAACGATCATGCTTAAAAATGGCACGATGCATGGAACTCTGTTATTAATGCTGTAATCCTGAACTGAAGTGCGAGTACATGGAAATCAGCGTGTCAGGCCTGTCACGGGAGTGTTTGTAAAATACATTAAAGAAAAACCCCAGAAAACAATGAGCTCATTCAACTGTTCTTTTTACAATCAGGCACTACAAGTCAAGAGGATTGTGAATGCTTACAGGTTCGGCAACATTTAAACAAATAAAGCTCTAATGTGCTACTACATTAAGCCTATCCCCTACTTTAAAGAAGGGGAAGTGGTTTTTCTTTTTTTTGGCCAGCTGACCTGATACCTGTCTGCTGATCTTAGGGAAGCAAGTCCAGTTTGCATTTGTTTGGACACAGAAGTGGATTCCTGTTTGCAGACAGCGCTGCCACGCATCTGTAGGAACTGCATCTGGCAATGGGATACAGTTCCCGCCCCTCCTTTCCTGTGGGAACCCGCCCAGCAGTCCCCAGAGCGGTCCCTTGCTTCTCCCCTCTCAGCTTTGCCCAGGTTCCACACAAACCCACTGGTGACCCAGTCCCAAGGGCTCTGGACCCAGGGCTCCCCACCATCCCACCGACTATGTCCTGCACTGTTTCAACAGACAGGGTGAAGAAATATTCCCATCCACACACGGATTTAATTTCAACATGTTTGATTAAAAAAGTCATAAAAATCTGGCAGTAAAAAGGTAAAAATTTAAAA